ATTCCCTTTTTATTTATTTATTTATTAAAAATAAATATTAAATATTTAATAATTTTTATAAATTAAAATAATTATTATTATTCATAATAATAAAAACTGTAGCAGTAAAGCTATCATTGCATGTAAATTACAAAAACACACATTTAAAAATCTCGATTAAAAATAATAATAATAATAATAATAAAATGACTTTTTTCTCTTTTCAAAGTCAATTCAAAGTTAAATAATTAAAAAATTAGTAATTAATAAATGCATAAATGTTAAATTAAATTAGGAAAAAATAATAAAATTTGTAACTAATAATTTGATAAAACATTTTTTTTTTAATAAAAACTTAAAATTTAACAACGAATATATATATATAATTAAAATTTTTTTTTTTTTAAATTAATACTTACCAGCCTTATTTATAATTACATATTAAAATCTATGAGGGTGGTCTGATTACATATTAATTTATTGATTGATTGATACCTTCACAAAAACTTAAAAAAACCTAAATTTTCAGAAAAGTAATAATTGATTTTTTAATAAAGTTTTCTTTAAGGTCAATCTTAACTTATGCCAACAATGCTTTCACCTTTTACTAACCCCATTTAAATCTAAATTGTTCTACTATCTTCTATATATTGTTTTCCATTGACAGAAAAAAATTAAAAAAGGAAAAAATAAATTACCTATGGGGATCAATTAAAAATTCATTGGAAATTGTATAAAAGAATGTAAAATGCTAAAGTAAGTCATTATTTTATTCGCTAAGCTTAAGTCTTTTATTTGACCACCCTCATGTCTTATTAAATAATTAACATTTTTTTAATACCTCTATTTTTTCCTACTTTTAATGTTGATTCTTGAAGAGTGTGAACAATACTTCTTCTGTAAAAATAAAAAATAAAAAATTTTTAAATAAATATGATACAGTAAATACACAAAAAAAACTTTAATTGTAAAAGCTAGATAATATGTTCGAGAATTCGATGGCACCAGGGTTTAGTAACACACAAAGTACCTCAAACTAATCTCAATATTAATTTTGCAGATTTTTGAAAAACTGTTACATAATGTAACAATTTCTGTGTTCATCTGCATTTAAGCACTTCAAAATTACTTTAAATTTTTACAATCTTTTACATTTTGGAAGTTTTTCATCCCAAATGGCAAAATGCTCTAAAACCAAACTATAAATTTTTTAAAAGCCTCATGATAATTCAGATTAATGAGGCAAAATGAGTAAGTATTTCATTTTATTAAATTTAATGCTCAAATATTCACAAAAAAATTCATTGATTTATTTAATTAATTAAAATTTAAAACTACCGAGCATTTCTATTTTCCTTTGAAATTCTTTTTTAAAAAATCCATTATTTAAATATAATAAAATTTAAATTAAATTGGTAAGTTATAGTATACTATATATATATTTGATATATTATTTTCATCTTGAGGTAATTAATTAACCGATATAAAGTAAAAACACTTTATATAAGAATAAAATATATTTCTCAGCGCATTGAAATCGTTTTTACCATATTTATCTACAATCTTATTGAATGAAATTAAATATTCATCATTTAAACAATTTTTATTTCTGACCTTATGTAATTTGAACGAAATTGTTAAGCATGTAAAGATGCACAAAAGTACAAGATCGCAAAAAAACAAAAAATGAATATTAAACAGTAATTTACAAAACTTTACTGACACAATTAGAATAAAACTATTTAAAAATCATTAAATGAGAACATAAAACTTACCTAAAAATTTCTTTTCAACAAGATGCACGTGGATTAAAATTTCACGAATTTAATAAAGCATCGTTACTGTTCTTTGAATTATAAGTAAGTGTTACCAACTTTTGAAAAATTATAAAATAAATAATGTATAGGCTTTTTAATGTTAATCAACCAGATTTATAATTAACTTTAAATTTTTAAAGTAATATACAGTAATTACGCAAACTATGATAATTAGTAAAATTAATATTTAAAAAAAAGAGGATTCCAATAGATTTATGTGCCTAAATATGTATATTTAATAAATAAATATTCATCAAAACATTAGGGTGTGATTGGTGTGAAAATCTTGTGGGCGGTTGATGTTTTGTTCATCAGAACATTTATAATAATATTATATATAATTTAGAATTTATTTCAAACTACTCAGCGCTTGAATATAAGGGCTTTTTACATATAGGATAATTTCTCTCTCGCCAATATAGAGATCGCCGCCCCATGAAAAAAACAAGCTTCTCCCATTTTTGACCGTCGGTACTTTAAATTGGGGATAAAAAATTTCAGTATTTTGGCATAACTATTACATTATTATTGGATAAACTCTTAAAAATTAAACGATAATAATTAATTATGAAATAATCTGTCAATATTCCCAAAATTATTATCTCATAATCGAATCATTAATATTATAATTCAATTTTTAAAAAAAAAAACCAATTAAAATTGAATTAACAGTATTTTTAACATTTTTCAAATAAATACTCATAATTACATGTAAATAATTGCAATTTAAAAAAATAAATTAAAAAATTGTATTTTTGCAAGGTTAGGATAAAAAACAGAGTAAAAGAAAAAAAAACGACTGCGATTAAAATGCATTAAAATAGAAGAAAAAAAAAAATTTATTAGTGAAAATTTAATAAATACATAAAAAATTAGAATTAACAAAAATGACATTAATTGTAAGAATTCATTTTTTTTTTTTTGGTTTTTTTTTTTTTGGAATTCAAAAATATTAATACTTATTAGTGCTTGAAGATATTAACAATTATTTAGTATTCGTTAAGAACATGAATGAGGGTATTAATATTTTCTTTTACGTAATGGTGTTCACCTAAAACAAAAAAAAAAAAAAAAAAATTAAAATTATGTTGAATTTTTTAATAAAACATTTTTTATGGACATTGATACATTTATTTATCCAAGAACTATTATCATTACCTTAGTTTAAAGTAAAAACAAAAACTTATAATTAATAGTTTTGCTCAAAACTTTTTTTAATTTCATAAATATTTATATTTATATATATATATATATATATATATATATATATATATATATATATATATATATATATATATATATATATATATATATATAAATAATAA